ACGTCGTATTAAAGCCAAACGGCTGCAGTACAACGCGATTCTGCCGTCCACTTTTGGTGAGATCGGCCTACGAATCTCTTCTTCATGCACTTTCACACAAAATAAAAGCCTTGACAACAATGTTATTTCAGGGGACTCATTGGAACCCAGCTACTCTTTGTATCCGTAATGACTAAGTCTCTCATTTTAAGAATTACAAATAATCTCGTCAACTACTCAACTCGAAAATGAGTAACTTTGTTGATTACAATCCGCCTCGGCGAGCCCGGACGACTGAGATCTAATTCAAGTTGACGGACAGAAATACTTTGTGACGTCGTTTTTTTCTTCCCCTATTCGACTGATTAGATGATTTGTCTAAATCGCCTGTTTACAAGGGCAATAACCATGGTGACACGAACAGACACACTTGGCTGCCATTCAGCGTCATCTCAGGCCTCAAGTTGTCCGAGTTCATGTAACCAGAGTGACAGGGTGGATGAGGTAATGTTGAGATCTGTCGCAGGTCGGCCGTTTCTTTGGCTGACTGACGCCATTCCGTCCGGCCGGCGTGTCTTGCTCCAGGCAGCCGGCGGCTGAACCGAGGTCGGTGGATCGATAAGAGAGTCAGCTTGAATGGCCTTGTCTGGCGGCGCCGGGTCGGCGAGTCTGATTCGACATGGCGAGGCCCAGCAGCAGCGGCTTTGTGGGCGGCTGGTCTGACCAGATGAGCGGGAAGCAGCGCGACAAGTCGCGTCTGTCGACCGTCTTGTCGGACGACGCTGCCGACCAGGCTGACGTGGTGGGAGGCGATGTGGCGCTCGAGACGGCCCGCTTCTGCTCGGCGCGTGGGGAGGGCGGCCCGACTGGCCAACTCACGCCGACGGTGGCCGCAGTGGCCCGCATCAACGCCTGCCTCGATGCCGACGACGCTGAGGCCACACTGGCCGCGCTTGCGCAGCCGCAGACGCGACTGCCTGGCCTGCCCGACTGCCTTCTGGTCGATACGGCGCGGTCGGACCTCGTAGGCCCGGCCAATGTCTTGTCGGACCGTCGCGTCCTGCTTGCCGGCCTCTACCACGCCGAGCTGGCCACGGCCCGGGCCGACAAGTCGGCCGACCTGACGCACGCTGAGCTGACGGCCCTGATGGACGCGCTCGCCTGCCTCAGCGCGGTCAATCTGGCCGTCGAACTGGCCGACGCGGGCGCTCTTGGTCTGGCGCTGCGGCTACCCGAGGCCGACTGGCAGGGCGCCGAGGCCGTCTGTCCCGATGTCTGTCTGGCCCGGCTGCGCTCCAGACGCGACGAGAAGACGGCGGCCGGCCTGTCGGCCTGCCTGACGCGGGCCGACGTGCAGACAGTCGTCTGGCAGGCCAGCCTGTCTGCACGCCTCCTCGCGCCGGACTCGCTCTCCGCGCGCGCCGACGCCTTCATCCTGCGCGCCTGCCGCCAGCACCGCCAGCACCGCCAGCGCCAGTGCCGACTGCCCGATCCGACTGGCCAATCACCGGCCGCCGGCCCGGTCCATCTCGGGCTCGAATCGTCTCTATCCGCATCCGAGCCCACGCTCGCACACGAACAGACGCACGCGCGCCACTGCCGCACACTGGACAGACGCCAGGCCAATATCGGCCGATCCGTCGACCCCGTCCCTCTGCCAGTCGTCTGGTGGGAGGAGCTGCACATCGGCGGCCCTAGACCCGATCGACCGGCCAGTCAGTCGACCGACCCACAAACCGCCGACCGCGGCCTCGACACCCACCCGCCCCCTCCGACGGACAAAGGGCCCGGCCGCACGGCCACGGCGACACAAGCAGACTCACATCAGCCCACCAAGCCACTGGTCACGAGGCCGGAATGTCGCGTTG